GTCCCTCAGTTAGAAATTAGAGACCAACTGTGTATGATTTAATCTGAAGTTATGGCAAGAAAAAAAACAAAACATAAAAAGTTCAGTTTGCGCTTTGCCACAAACGTAGGGAACAAAGAATGCTAGCATATATGTAAGAAGCTGTGAAACATGGTGGCAGCAGCATCACGGCTGGTTTTCTTCAGCAGCTACAATAGCACAGCTTACATCAACACATTCACATGTGTTAGATTGACTTAGCCAAAGTTTATCCAGTTAGGAATCTAAGACCAGACGAGAGAATAGCCCCCTCCCCAAAAAAAAAAAAACATAAAACGTGCACACCACATTTCTTAGACATATTTTTGTAGAATAAAATTTAAAAACAATGTGTCTATCACCTAAAACATCTATCACGTATGTTAAAGTTAGTGGCTGTGATAAAATGTGATAGAGTTCTACGGTTGCAAATAGCAGAAATATTGTACTAACAATGAATTTTTTTCTGAGCATGGTCATGAACATGTTTTATAAAAAAAAAATCCAGAACGTAGATAAAAACAGCTGCTAAGATTGAAGAAACAAACATAAATGATAAGATTTTTTACTGCAAAGATTAATGGTTGATTAAAATTAGGTAAATGAGTCAATAGTATGTTCACTTCATATTTATGATATTAAATTGAGCATTGGGTGTAAACCAGCTACATAAAGTAACTGTATATCCTTCTGTACCATAAAATGATCCTTCTAGCACTACGCTATTCGCACAGCATAGTTATCCACAAAGCCAAATAACAGCACCTGTCTAACAAAGGCCTTTTTCAGGCCCTCGTGGGAATCTGCCCAGATCTTGGCATAGCGGCGGATGGTGAAGAGCTCATCCTGGACGGGGCACAAGGCCTGGCCAATCACCTCTATGAGTTTGCCATGCGGCAGGCTCTCGTAGGCTCCACTCACATCCACCTGTTAGACAAATAAGAAACTGATACAAATCTTCCTTGGTTGCCATTTTACAAAAACAGGTATTTCTCAATGGCTTGAGAGAAAAACCAAACCATCAGATGTCATGACTCACTTTGACAAAGTAGAGCGTTTGCGGTCGGTCTTTCTGGGCTGGTGCCAGAGAGCTCAGCACCTTGTGAATATCCGTCATCCCCCACACCGTGGAGCCGAGGAGGGATGGAGTGGAGCGCACGCAGGCCCTCAGCACGTCCAGCAAGTCCCGCACCCGAGCCTGGAACAACTGCACGAGGAATTAGGTTACGGCTGTAACTTCCCTAAGATGAGGTCTCTAAAAAGTGCCTGCGTACCCTCGTTTTGGGATCCGTTCCTATAACTCGTGTGATAGGCCTCATGCCGTCTGACTTGGGAATGAAACGAAGTCGGGAGATGACGGTGCCTTTGGGGAGAGACGCTGCCTGAGCAGGGGACAACTCCTCCATCTGACCTTTGGAGAGGTGACCTCTGAAAACAAGTTTTTATCTTTAAATGAAGCCGTCTGTTCTGTATCCCAAACTCGGGTGTAAACAGAGAACCGCCTCGGTACATACTTGAAAGCCAAGTCCTGAAGTTTGGTCCAGACTTCCTGTCGGTAGAACCTGATGGCGTTCTTCTGCCCCACGCTCTCCGTGGCATAGAAACAAGCGCGGACGAGACCCACGACAAAGCCGTCCAGCAGCCAGGTCAGGAACTGACCCAGGATCTGCGTCCGGTACGCAAGCTCGCTGGGTGGGATTCGGCCTGCAAGTAAGACGAGTCGGTTCAGAACGTCAGAAACACGAACCGCAACTAAAACCGCACCATTCAGAGTTCTATGGCAAAGTTCACTTCAACCAAACCAAGACCTCGACTTTTCGGCAAACCAGAGTTTGGTTTTTAGGTCCTCATCAGAGTTCAATTGCGCATTTCCACCTCCCAAATGAACTGGGTTTTGTAGGGACTAAACTGTGTGTGTGTGTGTGTGTGTGTGTGTGTGTGTGTGACAGAACCCTCGCCTGTATGAACTGCAGACAACTCTCAACCTATCAATAACAAAAAAAATAAAAAATCCGAGAGCGTATCTGACTTACCGGTTTTACTGATCTTCAACCAGTCGCAGTCATTCACCTTCATGTTCCACATCAGCTCAGCCAGCGACAGCCTCTCAAACTTGCCGCTGTGGAGAAAACTCCTGGCTTTGGCAAAGAAATGAACCCGGTTATGGTCCGAGCCCCACATCTCTCGCGGAATCACAGTAGAGAGGCATTCTCTGACGAACAGGAAGACCCGATGGGGCGCACAATGTTTAGGTAGAAGGGAGCTTAGCTCTCCAGGTCCCGTGTTACGCTCTTCAACCAAAGGGCAGATCCTCTGCAGGATCTTGCTGTAAGGGCATTTCTTGTGTTGCCGCAACAGCCGACTAAAGAGGGGAACCATGTTGAAGAACCTCTGGGGAAGCTTTTTCGGTTTCCTCTCTGAACCGTTCAAATACATCAAGCCCTCGAAGAAGACGACTCGTATCAAGTCTTTCCCTTGTAACCTTCTGGATCCATCGACGCTTTTTTTCTTCCTGTTGAGAAGGAAGCTGTGCAGGCCTCTGCCGCCGTACAGGAATCCCAGCGTGCGGATAAAACATTGTGAGGGCGGCAAAGGAGGAAAAGCCCCTGACCGCCAACTGGGACCACCCTCCGTTGTTGGCATCTCAATTGTCTGTTTGAAACCAGTCGTCCCATTTTCCACATTCCTCCTAGACGTTGCTGGTTCCACAAACCTAGTCTGTCTTTCCTCAACCGTTTGCTCCTGATTGCTTTCTGTGTTTGCTAACCGTCTCCTCTTTCCTGAGGAAGTTCCCATCTCCTCCTCCAGCTGATCGAGTCCCCTCTTTCTTTTTCTCTTGTTCCCTTTTTCCTTTCTTCTTCTCCTAATCTGGCTTTGAGCCAGATTCTCAACCTTTTGTCTTCCCCTAAAGCGCAGTGACCTTTTATCTCTTCCAAAGTGAGACAAACTGCGCCCCGTAAGTCGAAGCTGAAGATGAAACCCACTCGAGGGTGGGCTCGTGGACACCCTGTCATACGCCGGGACGCCGCACACCTGGAAAACGCATGAAGGAGGCACTGCCACGAATACGGAGCAGCTCTCCAGCAGGTATCGTGTGATGTCTGTGCCCAGGCGCAAGGTGACTTTCTTCCACAGGTCACTGCCGTGAACATAGGCGGCACTTTGGGTCACGTCTCCTTGGAATTTAAAGTGGTCTGCGTCCCGATCCTCCTGCGGCAGGGCCAGCAGGTTGTAGCCATGGGCCAGGACGTTTCTTCTTCTTTTCCTTTTCATGGTGTTGAGAACAAAAGCCAGGAGTTCCGGTAGAGTGCAAATCTAACAATATAACATAACTCAGTATTAGGAAAAACCAACCTCTTATTATGATATGGAGGTTGTTTTTCCATCAAAACCATGACATTTATATACCACTTTGAAAAGGAATATAAATACTTTCTCAAAATACTGTTTATTTTCACAGTTACATAACGCCCTGTGTTATACTGTGCAACTTTGCAACTCTGTATGTAACTGTGTTATTGGCTGGTATATTAAGGAGGCTCAAACTCACACTTTTGAGATTTTTATGAATAAAATGTATACGTTTTTTTTTATAAAACTTATAATAAGTTTTATAAAACGTATGCATTTAGTTGATAAAAATCTGAAAAGAGTGAATTTGAGCCTCCTTATTATACCAGTCAGTAAAATCCAGGACAACCAAGTGAATTTAGAAGTGCCCAATGTTTTTGAGTTATGCACTACTTTGTGCTGTTTAATTACATAAAAAGTATTAAAACATGTGTTACATGGAGAAAAAGGTCAAAGTGTATGAATATTTTTGGAAGACACTGTTTTATCTTCCACCAGTAGTCAATATTTAGAATGTGTCGATAACGAAGAGGGGTTTTGTGCCCTCTTCATCTCACCTCGCTGCAGCTGGGACTCTGTTGTAGCTCCTTATCAAAGCACACAAACACTCCTCTGACAAACGTTTTGAAGCGGTTCGAGTCTGACTGCTCAACCAGAACCGGCTTCTTTCCTTCCTTGAACTCGATGCTGTCAGCGAACTCCTCCAGCGTCTGTATGTGCCGATACAGAGACCGGAGAATGTTCAGCACGGTGGACATATCAGCCGCAGCCATAATGACTTAAAGCCCCCTAACTCACGGTAAACACGACCCCGTCATGTTGGCTAGCAAACAAACTATTTCCTGCCTTGAGGTATTGAGTTCACCCGCCCGCCTTGCCGTTAGCCAATGAGGATTGGGTTTTCATATGCGTCCAATCAGAAAGCCGCATACTTCAAAGGTGAATCCGGAGTTCACCAATCGCCAACAAGAAAATGTTTGTTGTCATAGATCCACGATATGATGAATAGTCGCACGTGAAAGTAAATTAAAATAAAATAAATTTAATTAAATTTATTTTTAATCATGTAAACCACTTTAAACTGCCTTGTTGCTTAAATGTGCTATGCAAATATTTTAAGTACTTAATGTTATTAAAATTAAAATATTTCTATTGTCTAATTTTTTTTAACAGACATCACTGAAAGACAGAAAATTACTAAAATTCTGTGCATTTGTGAATTATAAGACTGTTTTAGCTCTTTATAAACGCTACTAAAACTAGGGTAATCTTCTGATGAGGGTTGCCACCCGTCCCTTAAAATACGGAATCGTCCCGTATTTGGCTAATAAATGTTGCGTCCCGTATTGAACCGATACGGGACGCGATTTGTTCCGTATTTCTATAAATATCCGATAGACACGCCCATCACACATATATCAAGACTAATTGTAACAATAATGACCAAAATAAAACACAGGATATATTAAGGTCAGCTAAATTGTCGTGGTGTGAGCTCAAGGACCCCCAGGACACTACGGACCGACGCTCTTGTGGTTGCCTAGAGACGGACTCTACGCAGCCGTGGTGAGCTGCTATCGACCGCGTCTTTTTAAAACATCCTCAACCCGATTCTCCACCGTCCTTAGAACCGAAACCTCTCGTACAGATACGGACGTGAGAGGGAAGACTCAAATCGCAGGCTGAACATGTTAGTGAAGATGAATACAGGCAATTAAAACGAATGTGTTCGTCCTGGCGTGTTGTGCAGTGCTGCATGATGTCAGACAGAATGGATCAGGAAGAAGACCCGGTTAGAACCTAAAGAACCAGACATCAGCATTCATCCCTCAATCATCTCCTGAGACTGATATGGTACAGAACATTTTGCTATGATTGATTAAGTTTGTTATTGTGGTTTTAATTGACTGTCATGGTTTGATTATTAGATTTGCTTATTTAATGTATAGTCATATCAGCCAAAAATAATACAAATGGCCATTTAAAGAACAAATTATATTAACAAAATACATTTAGTTAGCATAATTTCTTCTGTACCCCTGCTGGCCCCCATCTAGAACCGTCCCTGGGCAGAAGGTCTATGTCTGACATTAATAATACATTAAATGACCACTGAACACTGAATTAATATGCCAACATTTCTTAATAAAACAAACAGAAAGCCCTAACAAATCTTTTTAAAGTAGGAAATATTTCTGTATTTACTGTTAATCTCTTAATATTAAGAGGTGGATTTTTTTTAACCTTCACAATTTTATTTTAACAACGAATTAAAAATTATAGTGCTGCACTTTTAGCTGCTGTATTGAGATAGGATCATACTTTCCATCTGCTAGATCAGGGCTCTGCAACCTGATCCAGCCTGAATCTCTGGAGACACAAGTGGCTCTTTGGCTTACTTGATATATCAAATAATGAAATATTGCTCTGTTTTTGTTTTTTTTTCATTCTTTTTTAAGTGTTGCCATGGGAAAACACTGACTACCCTGGTCCTCGTGGTAAATTTGATCTAGAACCAGCCTCCAAATCTAACTCCTCACTTGTATAAATATTTTTACAATTTATAAAATTGTAAATTTTATAAATTGAATTTATAAATTTTCACATAACTTTTATACTTTTGGAGCCCCGTTTGAGGACACATTGTGATTATGAAATTAGGTAGTATGATCAGTTACTCAGTACTTGAGCAGTTTACCAAATATATTTTACACTTGCTTAATTAAACATGTTTAAGGTGTGCTACTCTGATTAGGGTACAATTTTGGAGTACTCTATGTATGAATGATTGCTCTCTGGATCACTTTTTTTAAGGTTTTGCTGACTGTAGTTGCCTTTATTTGGAAGTAGTTTGACAGTAAAGTGGGTAATGAGAGAGAGGGAAGACATGCGGCCTGGGTCCACTGCCACGATGCCTAAAGCCTCAATATGTGGGTTGTGCTTTGCCCCTGCGCCATCACAGCAACCCCTCTGGATTACTTTTTAAAAACAAAAAACACTGCCATAAATATTGTCTATTGCTGCAGCGGCCATCCCACCCCATGAAAGTAGGGTGACACGCCGTGGTGGGTGTCCCTTATTTTGATTTCTGAAAGGTGGCAACCCTAGATGAGGGAGAAACAAACTTAACATTCACTGCAAAACAAAAAAACAAAACTATAGTTTTAAAGCAGTCCCGGTTCCCACTTGGGTTTTAATTTTCCTTTTTT